TCTCCAACTGCTTCCATATCAAAATTGTATGCAACGTCAATCCTCAAAAAACCCTGTTATTACTTGAATGTGGTCCTTTGAGGGGTGACCACTGCCTCAATCCTGCAAAATCCTCCAGCAATCACTGTCAGTATGTTGAGGCAGAGCCAGAGACATCCTGGAGCAGTGCCGAGGATTTCAAGTACAATCTACATTTGTAGGCCTAACTTTATGCATGGCTGAGCATAAACAACACAAGGTCCGGCCTAAGACCTTGACACAGTGCATCTTCCAAAATCAGCTATGCATTTTTGCTATATAGCCCCGATCCTGCAAAATCCTCCATTTTGCAAAGAGGATTTTGGAGGAATTGGGAAGGTTAGGGTTAATGCCAATGAATGAGCTAAATCTGGCCCATTATGTAGACCAGATGCATGAATTACTTCTGAATCAATGGAATAGAATTTTGTGTACTGTGCACAGCCTATAGTCCTACATGTACCTATCCCACTGATTGAGTGTCACTTATGCCTGAGACTTGTTAGGCCCCCCATGGGCGTCGCCAGGATTTTTTTTAGAGGGGGGCAAAAAAAAATTTTGACAAAAAATGTTTGTATTTCTCAACACATTCTCGATTTATCAGTTTTAGAGGGGGGCAGGGACAGTTTGCCCCCCCCCCCACTCATTAAATTTACACCACTTTGTCTTCGCGCCTCTTTTTCTTTTTTCTTTTTTTTTCTTTTTTTTTCTTCCTATTTTTTTTTTTTTTTTTGGCTTTTCCGGGGGGGGGGGGGGGGGGGGGGGGGCAAGTGCCCCCCCTTGCCCCCCCCTCGCGACGCCCATGGGCCCCCCCCCCCAAAAAAAGTCTTCTGTTTCTGGTATGGAGCTTGCCCCAAAAGTGGTGCGGCAACGCGGCTTTTTAAAAAAATTTTTTTTTACTTTTTTCTTCTTCAAATGTCGGCTGATGACTGCAATTGGTGCCCGACTAAATTTAGTGCAAAATATAATACTTAGTCCAGAGAGGCCACATAAAGCTTATGGGCAATTCTTTGGTAACGGAATTACGGAATTTTGTCACTTTGTCAAGGATTATTCTTTCCCAAGAAAATATGTTCTATGCCAGGCAACTAATCTAAACATGGAAAGGGAGCCAAGACCCAATAGAATTGATTGACCGCTAAAAAAAAAAAATCCCACAAGATTACCCTTTAAGGGGCGGAGCTTAATATCGGTAACGGAATTACGGACGGAGGACAAGCATATTTGAGTTCTTGCATTAATTAATAAAACTCTCTGAAGTTTTGAAATTTTAAAATTGGACACTACCTGTTATTTGTAGAGTTCAGGGGTGTTGTTAACTACAATGCAGAACAAAGTTGAAAAAATAATCACTCTTTTCATAATTTGCATTTTAATCACGGTAACGGAATTACGCCTGGGCGGTAACGGAATTACGCCATAGGTTTACATGTAATAGGTAAATGCAATACTTTTACATTGAATTCAACATAAACTCATCACAATACAAATTTTAGAAGTTTATAAAATGCCACAAGGGGAAAGCTAAGTGAAAATTAGCAGATCAAAATGTAAATGTAGGCCTAAACATGTCTGGGCTTCATTTTTTAGGTCAAAGGTCAAGGTCAAATGAAAGCAATATGTATATGTATATTTTTTTTTACCGAAAATCTAATTTTACTATGAACAAGTGTATTATCGTATTTCACTAGTTTATCGTGGAAAATACAATAAAACTGCACTGGTTGGCATCTCTGAGCAAGGAAAGATGTTAAGTTATGCCAAGTAGAAGTACAAGTACAGTCTGGTACTCAACTTTCATATATACTTGTTGTGGAATATATTTTCTGTGGGTACCAGACAACGGCTTTGGCAACACATATTTAAAGGGAATGTACATCATTGGCTTTTGCTGTAATTTTAAGAAATGAACTATTTGAGGGGTTAGTATAATAGATCAAATATTGTTACACTGACATGTTTGAAGTTTTGCGTTCAAAAATGCTGGAAAAACCAAGAAAAACAAAACTGTTCAAGTAGTCTGGTTCCCTGACTCCACTAAAGGTAAAATGGATCAATTTATAGATGCCGGAAAATTGGAGGATAAGGGAACCAGACTAGCTGGCCTGCACCCGGTCATGAACATGTAACAAATAGCAAACAAAATTTGGACTGGAAAGAGTGTAAAGTTGGAGCAGTAGTTGAAAAGTAGTTAGGTTTTTCCAACGGTGGTCGGCCGACCACCGTTGGAAATGTATACAAAAATATCATTTTCTTGAAAATTACTTCACACCAGGTGCCATAATTTTACAGGATGCTTTAGACTGTCATTTACCAACATCCTAGTAAGGTATTTTGTAAAAACTTGGTAGTTTTATTTTCTGATGTTTGAAAATGTTGTATATTCCCTTTAGGCATCCAAACAACTATTAGCATTTTTTAAATAGTAAAAAAAAAAACGTAAAAGTAAAAAATATCAATGGAACACCTGATTATTTTTAATTATACTATAGCAAATTAAAGAGGGAAATGATTTAACAAGTAATTTAGTATTTAAAGTTATTGTCCAAGGTTACAAGCAAATCTCCTATTTAATAATATGTCATGTACATAATCTGGAGGAAATGTGCATACTTTGTGCATGCGTAATTCCGTTACCGTAATTCCGTTACCGTTTCGTAATTCCGTTACCACTTGGAAAAATGCCAAGAAATTACTATTTTAAAGTTTTTACTTTTCATTTATGTTTATAGTAGGGTCTTTTCTCAACATACATGATTTGAAGAAAAAAAACAAGAAAATTTGTGAAATAAGTAACTTTTGCCATTTTTTCGGTAACGGAATTACGTGCTAATTTTGACATTTTTAAATGAAGGCCTACACTATATATATATATATTTATATTTTTAGAATTTTTTTTAATGACCCTGAGTAATGTTAGTAACTTGTAACATCATAAAATAAATCAAATCTTTTCCCTATAATTCAGAAAGTAATACATACACTAAATTTTATATTTTTACCAAATCTGAACGTTTTTAATCATAAATTGCAAAAATCACTGTTTTTACCAGAAATATGTATTTTTTTTCAATTTCGTTTTTTGAACTGAATTCCCCATTTAATTGAGGTCTGGAAAAAGTACAAAAAAGGTTTAATATGTAAATATTTATTTTTGACATTTTTTGCTCTCCCATGGAGAATTGCCCTTATACTTGATCGTAACCCCATCTAAAAACACGTTAAAATTGTGCAGCAGCAGGATTCCAGTCAAACCAGTGAGTTTGGCAGTTTTTAGACATGTTACATTGGAAAAAAAAACCTTTTTCATTTTACCAAGACGCTTTGGCTTTGTGCACATTTAGAATAAAATTAGTCGTGCGTACTTTGCGCTATACGCGTGCGAACCTGTATGCGCAGGCGGTGTGACCCGTCCATGGGGCTCTCAAAAGTGGTAACAAAGCGCCCTCTCTTGTTTGCGCACAGAGCCCATAGGCTTGCCGATTGGAGTCATGCTTCTTGATTGGCATGTGAAATTGAGATGTTGGCCTACATGTACTTGTAATAAGGCAAGCTCAACTCCTTACAAGAACATGCCAAGCACTTGTACAAATTGCATACATTTATGTTGCACAAGTTTACCAGTGCATGTGCATTGTAGAAATAAGGCCACAATTTTATGCCAAGAACTAATACCTTTTCTTGCCATTTTACAGGCTTTTTAAGATAAGTATTGCAGTGGGGAGTCTCTTCCTAACAATATCATCCGCACTCAGTGTACTTTCTGCACAAATCCTATCACATGCTCCAATTCCACACGTCTATACATTTATGACCCAGGCCGACTCGCCAACGCCATCAGTTTGTATTTCGTTTTTGTAAAAATGGACCTTATCTGATGCTTGAGAGATAATTATCACACCTCCACCTTTACATTTTTCTTTCTGAAATTGGAGGAATAGAGGTGTCCTAGTTTGGTGTGGTCAGAACCTGTGGACCTTGTCATAACCTTCTTTTGTTGAGAAACGTAAACCTTCACACTTGGTATTTGGACAGGCCTGGCACCCCTGGCCTAGTTTACTTTATCCCGCTGAGAAAGTGGGTTAACACGGCCAAGGCTTTTTCCCAACCCTTTTTTTTTTCCTTCAACTTTTTAAGCCAAGGTTGTTCAAATACCTTGTGGGCCAAGTTTGTGGAGTCTGCTAAGCGTGGAAAATATCTGCTTAGCAGGAATCGGTTACCAACCAAAACGTCATGTGATGTGTGTTGCTTGCAACTGGTTCTCTGCTGATGTGCTTAGCGCAAACTTGGGTCCTGCTCCTTTTCTGTACAATTTAGTGTACTGCCAGATGTGCACAGCTAAAAACAATAATAACTGCGTAAAGCAGCTGTGCAGAACAGCTATTGTTTTTGTACAGATTTTTTTTCTTTTCTTTTACTTCCCCATGTGTTTTCTTTTTGTTCTGTTCGTCACAAGTTATTTTGGTTTTGTCACGTCATTTTGTGAAATGGCACCCTGGCACAAAATGTAAGGAAGTCAATTTTGGGCTTGATTATCTGTTTTTCGTTGGTCGTTTGTTTTGACTCCTTTGCTCAATGCTGTAGCTAAAGAATGTAGCATGCACTGTGCTTGGATGAAATACCTAAAAATAACTTGTTCTCAGATAAGTAGGCATATTTTTAATTGATTGATTTTCCTCACTTATATGGTTATAATGTGACTGGGCTTTAATAGTTCGTGATTTGTTACTAAATGACCAGATGTTGAGAAATCTGTACCAGAAAGCAGAAGGTTACAGGTTCGAATCCCTCTTAAAATAAGCAATCTGTCAATTTGTTCATTCAGTACTGACTTTGATGACCAGAAGAAGACAAAGTCAGCTCGCAAAGTTTTTGCGTGGAAAATGTATTTTATCAAATTCAATCAATTCTCTAATTTTCCAAAGTTATTATTTGCAATATTGTAACTTCCTTTCTTCACTTTTCCCTTTTTCTGTAAACAGAGACCGGGTGGCTCGGGCCAGCGTATGGCCCCAGGAATGCCCCCTCCCTATGGCGGCATGAGAGGGCCCATGGGCCAGGGTATGGACTCATCTCGCAAACGTGGACACGGCCACCCATCAGACGCACAGAAAAAGGGACAGAGGTAAGATTAAAAAACCTTTGTTTGCCCTGATACGAAAACCACCATTGAATAATTTCTTCCCATTCAAATTTAAATAAATCACAGTTTTGTTGAACCGTCGGTAAAAAGGGTAAAACCCAATATTGAATTGACATCAACCCGAAACAAATTCCATCTTATAAATAGTTTGGTTGCAGTACCCACTGCTATATCAACTTCGAACCAGCCAGCTGACTCTGGCAAGCTCGGTGGTCGAGTGATAAGACATCTGCACTGTTCAGCAGGAGGTCATGGGTTCGAGTCCCACCCGAGTAGATGGTGATTTTTTTTTACTAGCACTCAAACACATACAGTGTTTATAAAAAAAAAAACAGTAGTGAATGGTAAAATGTAACATTGAATGTACAACAACCCGACTGAAATTCCATCTTATATAAACTGACTTGGCTCAGTTTAAAATCAATTTAAGCTTGAATAAAGAGATTGACTCAAGCGGGATTTGAACCGCTGACCTGTGGAGGTTGTGGGTTCAAACCCCAGTCCATTCAATTTCTGAGGTCAACTTGACATTTAATTTTTCTCCTCAAATTAAATTGTAAGGTTTTTTTTCTCCTCAAGTTGTCATACATGTACATGTACGCCAGCCTTGTTCGTGGACCCAGTCACAATTAGCACAAGCATTCACAGCATCCGTTCACCCCCGTCAACCACCCACCCCTGACCAGGCAAACCCTGTCAAACAATCACCAGGGCGTTGAAACAACAATCCCTAAAAAAAAAAGCAAGAAACAAAAAACAAAACCCCCAAAAATGACACTTTCAAGATTGATATAGCGGGGCTAACAAGACATGCATGGATTAAAATGCATCGGCAAAATCATCAGTCATTCTCCCTTCGCCCCTTCGAGAATTTCAAATTTAAGGGTGCTGAGATAGTTTATGCAACTTCTTTTTTTTTTTTTTTTTTTTTTTACTCCTACCTTGGGAATGTTCCAGAATTTATGTATCTGGGAAGCCCCGTTTCGGATTGGAGAAATAAACACATTCCCCTTTGCGATGTTTCATCCGTGAAGCCCAAAAATGTCGCTAATGAGAATGAAATGTGCGGTATAGATTACGCGATGACACGTGTTTACGTTTTTTTGACGTGCTCCCTGTGTTGATTTCGGTCCCGAATGCGGCTGGCTGGAACGAAAATGTTTATGGGATTTGCCACTTATTTATTTCTCGTTTAGGAGCGTCAAGTGTCAATCTTGTTACAGGGGCTGTCAATCTTTTTTCTTTTTGTTTTGCTTGAAAGCAACGAAGCATCTCTCAAGGCAAAGAAAATGTGTCACCAAGATTTTTGCCTCTTGTTAGGGATATGGTAGACCACAAAAAAATACTGTTTCATCATGGGCCAAAGTTTAACAGTCTGGTACACAAAGTTTCATAATGACAATGTATTCCTTTTTGTGCCTGATTTGGAAAATTTGACCTTGTGGTAGTCTGGAACTAGATCATTATGTCCACGGGGAAGATATGTAACTATTTTGAATGAGTGATTACAGTTGGAGCAAAACAGAAAGAACAGAAAACATGGTGCATACCTTGTCGTAATATTATTTCAAACTTTCATTTATTTTACATGAGGGCCTTTCACTTCTTTTCTACAATCTACATTGTAGTAATCGACGGCTGATGCCAGGAAATGACCACTGATGTTAGAAACCGGTTCCAGATTATTGGATCGGGTGCCCGTAACCAACTTTACAAATTACTGACAGTACTTGGTTACACCTCAGACAATGAAAAAAGAAACGTTTTGATTACCATTTGTGGGAGTTCAGTGTTCTTTCAGCAAAACGAAAACAAATCACATAGGGATGTGTGTGAATTGTTTTCGTTTTGCTGAAAGAACGCGCACCTTTTTTTGTGATCCGTGGACAGAACCTTAAAACGGTGGTTGTGTTTAAAATGCCGTAACTTGAAAAGTACATGAGTGATTTGAATGATTTTTGTACTAAAAGAAAGCTTATGAATTGGGCTTTCATATCCTAGATTTTGAAAATGCTACATCCAGAACTTCCTTAAAACAATGGTCCCAACATTTGGGTTTCCTTTTTTTTTTTTTTTTTTTTACTCACCCTGTATTAACCCTAGAAGATCCTTTCTTTTACTGGGAGGTTTCGGACAGATGTTGGAGAATTAACTAAGTCGGCCCATCTGCTATTGCTTAATGTGAGGTTGTTGCTCAAGTTTTGAGGACTTTCATAGGTTCTTCGCAAAACTCAGGAAGTTGAGTTGCATAGATAAATCCTGAGAACAACTGCATTTCTGTGATTGATTTGAACAGTGCTACGATTGGTGGCGGATCCGGCAGCAGCAGCGCCAGGAAAAAGAAGAAAATGGCCGACAAGGTCCTGCCCCCGCGGGTCCGGGAGCTGGTGCCCGAGTCCCAGGCCTACATGGACCTGTTGGCATTTGAAAGGAAACTAGACGCCACCATCATGAGGAAGAGGCTGGACATTCAGGAGGCCCTCAAGAGGCCAATGAAGGTCAGTTTCTTTTAGTTTGATTACTTTTGAATTTGGTGATTGAAGATGGTACACGATTGGAAATGTTTGGATTTTGAACCTTTAAATTCTGGCAGGCCCTTCATTGTTACCTCTTTGGGAAAAAGTGTCAATGTGTGCATACTTTCTCATTAAAGAAATATCTTATTTTTAAAACTTTACGCATCTGTTAAAAATAAAGTATCTGCCACTCGGAAAGCTTGAAAAAAAAACCCCTGAATCCCCCAGGAGTCCCTTTAATACCCAATAACCCCTTGAACCAATACGGTGAACTTTGACCCGATGGCCCACTCTCATACAGCCACAAACAAACATCTATCTCATTTGTGTTTGTGTTTCTTTTTCCCTTGGTGTGGTTACGCAAGGGCCCGGCAGAGTGGGTTACCGTGCGGTCAGGCCACTGAAAAGCCTGGATAAAAAAAAAAAAAAAAAAAACAGAAGCAAGTCGTTCACTGCTCAACATAATCAAAATCAAATCAAATATCAAATCAAATATCAAGTTATACACTTTCAACACCCGTCAAAAAGGTACTTTTTTTTTTTTTCTCTCTTTTTTTTTGGCGTGTCCCCACTCACAATGTCCCCAGGGGAAGTTGTAAAGTTGACTTAAGGTTGCAATCGACTTTTGTCCGTAGCCTGTCAGCGAAGAAGGGTCGGCTGGTATTAGTGTCCACCACAGCGACACTAATAGAATGGCTTCCTTTCACCTCAGTTCAGGTGTGAAGATCGGGCCATTCATCGCGGGCTCCGCCTCAGGGCCCAACTTGGCAAAGTTTACCTAAGCCTTTATGTATGCCTGGCTAAACCAGGTCTGGCTCTCTCTCTCCCTGCGATCAACCGATACCTTGACGTCCCCATGCTAACGGGTATAGATTGGCTTGCTTTTTTTTCTTCTTGGGACTTGTTACGTACGTCCACCCACCGCTGCTAGTTATGTTACGATTTGCGCACGGGGGAAAAATTTGAGCTGATGAAAAGAGCAGCGTGAGATGGCCTCTGTAGAGGCAAGTTTCCCACGCAGTGCCTTTGTGCTGCTTTACACTAACGACTTTTTTTCCATTTCTTTCAAATATTCCCTTAAAACTTTGGTTTTATAAATGTTGTTGAAGAGTTCCCCAATACTTGAGGTGATGTTTCTCAGAAGAGGATGCGCAAGGCATTGGGTGATATACTTTAATTCGGCGACAGCCGTTTTCCGAGGTGGCACTGTATTGGCACCAGGTTCGTGCGAGTCGCGTTCAGGTACCGGTACCTGTTGAACGCACGCAGTCCAGACTCTTTCGACCAATAGGCTTACCAAAATGGGTGCGCGCCTCGTTTCGAAGTACACGTGCGGCATTAGCGCAAGCGCGAACTTGCCACCACCTCTAAAACGGCTTCTCATCTTGTTCAGCAAATTCCACTGTTTTAGGATGGCATTATTGCATTGAGTTTTTATGCAGTCTTTCCATTAAAACCCCAAAAAACTTGAGTGGGATTCGAACTTCCAGTTCAGTATCCCAGGTTCAATTCACACTCCATTTACTTTCTTCAATTAAATATTGATTGCCTCCCGTTGTGGTTAATTTGAGTGTTTTGTTTGTTTGGGGTATTGTTTGTTTTATTTTTATGTACCAGTATGTATTTTTGTCAGTGCCTGTTCAGTCCTTTTTGCCTGATCAAGCTAGTTCCTTCCCAATAGGTCCACCCCTTGTTCCACTTATGTAAGCACCGCCCACCAAAAATCCAGTCTCTAGTTTGTTCGAGACCAATTACCTGTATCAAGGCCGCTGTTTATTTGTCCATCTCCCCCCCCCCCAAAAAAAATCTCTTTCTGGAATGTTCCAGATTGTGACGAAACTAGGCGCATCAAAAGTAAACAAATAATTGTTGTGTTGTTCACGTGTCAAAGCCGTGCCTGCCTGCCATGCCGCACACAAACTTTTGACACACTGACCCAGCGTAGGGTTTTTCGCCGAACAGAAATTTTCCAACCACAAAGGTATATTTTTGGCATCGGAATACGAGGGGAAAAAAGGTCACTTACCTGCTGTACTTGCTAAGAAAACGAGTTTCAGTTTTGATGGTTCAAGCGTGTTCCAATTCAGAGTCATTGTAGAAATCTGGATACATTTTTGTATTCAAATGAAATTTTGCGACCAAAATAAGCACTACTAGACCACATCTGTGGGCCACTCCACACTTGTATCACTTGAGCAAATACCTGTGGTTTCTATGAGGTAGCCGAGTGGGTGGTTGACCCTCCTTTAATTCGCTGGAGACCTGTCAGTCATGTTGCGGCCATATTGGTTTTCTTTTTTTTTATTGGGCATATTTGAAACCCCGGGTTCTTCTTTGGGTTAGACATCATCTTCGACTTAGAATCATTTTGAAACCTTTGCCCACTAAACCGTATGGAATTTGTACTCAAAAAAGTGTTTTAACATGTCACAAAGAATTTTACGTGGATCAAGTCAGGAAACCAAAACTGAGATGATGCCGAAGTTTCAAAATACAATGTTGTTAAAAACAATGTTGTTTTCAGTTAAGACTTTGACGATAATTATGAAGCAGGAAACACTAGTTTTATCATGCTACATTTTGTTGGCAGAAGTTTAGAGAAGGTTTACATTTGTGACCTTTTTATGAGGACACACCTGAGGATCCTACATTGCAAACTTCACCCGGACGCGCCAAAATTATATTTGGGCTACAAATATAAACACCGAAACTATGTCCCAAACAAGGGTCAGTAGAAGTTCACCACTAAAAAACACCTGGTTATTCTAGATACACTTGCCCCAAAACACCAAACTTGCTCAAATCCCCCCCCCCCTTCTTTTTTTCTTGAGCCTCATCCAATTTTCTTTTTTTCTATACTGGGTGTAAAACAGCAGCCATGTTTTTATCGGTTAAATTTATTTGGACTACCCCATCCGTCTTGCGTGGAATGCGGGCTCCCAGGTACCGGCAGATTTTTCTGGTATTATGATTTTGTCACCGAAATGACTATCACAAATAAACTTTTTTGTCCCCAGCTCGCATCAATCATGGGTGGTTATTTTTTTGTAGACCCGTATACATGTTTTCGGGCAGTTTCAATTTGGGTGACTCGCATAATTTGCGTTAACGTGGGACAGAATGGGGTTAAAACCATTTTTCCTAGAAAATAAAAACTGTTGTAGAATGTAATTGTGACTTTAGATACCAGTAATTATCCTTTTAATTAAAAAATGACCCAAAAATCCTGCTTGGATGGAAACATTGGGCTGTCCAACTTAAAAGCTACATGTATAGTCCATCATTTGCAGCCATCCAAAAAGTATGTGACGTAATTATTGTTGAAAAACATACTTGGTTGAAAGATAACAAGGGGACTAAACTCCCTGTGAATTTATTCTTTCTGGCATGCTGTAATTTTGAAGAAATCAACACAAGAAGGCCTTTCCAACGGTGCGTCTGAAGACGCACCATTGGAAATTTTTTCTTATTTTTATTCGGCGAAGCGCGTGCAAGCGTTGGCACGACGCACACGCGCACGTGGTTGCTATAGTTCGTCGGATCAGTGCGCGACATCGCGTAGCTGCAATCGGCTCAGTGAGAACGTGTCTCGGACGCTGAATTCATGCCCAATTCAAAACATGATTCAGCAACTTTTGATTTGAAATGGAGATCCTAGAATGCTGTTTTTCTCGGAATATACAGCTGAAGCTGAGCTGAAACTTCATCCTGTTAGTTTTTCAGCACCCTGCTTTACATTTTGAGCCCTTATGTTGCTTCAAACGAACAAAATGCACCAATTACAAATGATGAACTATATCTTTAATTAAAAAATGACACAAAAATCCTGCTTGGATGGAAACATTTGGCCATCCAACTTTAGAAATTCAAAACATAAAAGGTCATTTATTTTGGTATGCGTATCTTTTGCAATATGTCAAATTTCCCGTCAGTTTTGTACAGATTATTAATTCCAAGATTCTTGCTAACTTTCATGAGAGATATTGTTCTCAATTAGATTTTGTGATGCAATTTTTTTTCCCAAAGTCATAACATGATTGACATATTCGTTGCACTTGTGAGTGCTCAATGACCCAAACCCTTTTCATGACACAGTTTAAGTACAAATTAATCGCAAACCAGCTGATTCAGGGCACTTCAATGAGTAAGACTTATTTATTAATTTTTTTTATACCCGATTGGAATTTTCAGTACAACAACATACATCCATCCCATCTCATTGGAATGGATCTTGTTGTGTATGATTTATGATTTATTATTTTGCAATCCATTTAGGTATAAGCAAAAAAAGGGCTATGATTTAACGCTCTATTTAAAATTCCGACGGGCGCTTTTGAGAAAACCCAGGTGCACCAATTTGTTTACCATTTATCCCATGTTGTCACAGAAAGCATTCCAACGGTTGGGTCTTGAAAAGATGAAAATAAATGGCCTATTCTTCCTCAGTATCAAATAGGGCGCACACCTGTGGGGTTTACCGTATCCCCGTTTTTTTGTCAGATTTGTTTTCTTTTTCTTTTCTTCCGTTTGTGTTGATTTGTTGGTTTCTGGACTTGTTGAGCCAATAATTTTTCTGTTTCAAACGTCAGTTTTCTTTTAGAGTTCTCTCTCACATTCCATTCACGGCCGTTTGCGTCGTTTAATTGACGTCGATGAAAAATGGATTAACATTGTATCAAAGTGTTTTTTTTCTGTCAAACACTTTTCAACAGAAATTTCACAAACTAAAAAACAAATCACAAAAAGATTTAAAATCACACCTGGAACGGACAGCTTTTGTGAATGACTTCCCTTTATTATTCAATTTTCTTGATATCTTTACGATGTAATTCACAAAATATAGGGTTAAAATCCGAAGTGGCATTCCATTAACTCCTATTAACTAGCCAAGATCCGTCAAAATCCACTTGCGCACGCGTAACCGTTAGCACATCCACGCCATGAAATGGTGGTTAAGGTTAGCACAAGTTTCTGCTATAGTT